TTCCAAGGTCTGTGCTCATATTTGGCTCCCAATAAACTTTAAAAAGTTTTTTTTTAAAAAAAAGAAAAGAAACTATAAAACATAAGTTGTTCTGTACTGTGCACATGGTTCCTAACTTGTTTTTTACCCTCTTCCACTTAATGGTATGTCTACAGAAAGCACTACCAAAACCCCATTCTTTTAAACTTCTGTAGAAGTAATTTATGGTTTACCATTTATTTTGCCATTTCCCTTTGATATATTTTTAGGTTGCCTTCAGTTTTTCATCTTTATAAACAATGGTGTTTTGAACCCCTTTGGGTCCATCTTTATTTTTCTAACATAAGTACTGGAAACCAGAATTGCTGGGCCATTAGACTTGCATATGTTCGGTGTGTTTTTTGACATTGTTAGTATGTACCCTCGAGTTTGGCTTTATTATATTATACTCTTCATCTTGCTAATGATTATTTCCTTTTTATTCTTCTTCATAGGGTTTACTAGCACTGGGCATCAGTAAGTCTGTTCAGACACCAGATCCTACTCATCCGTAAGGACATTGCCTTTATTTTGTTTTTGTTTGTTTTGGCGACAAGTCATTGAAATAAAAGCAACTGAATTTAAGAAATCTCCTGTAATTTATATACCTGCAGTTTGTTAAAGATTTGATCATTTCTTCCACTGTAGTATCTAAAGTGCAGGACCCATCACTGTGTCAAAGTAAATTCAAGGTATAATTTGAAAATAGAGCTTAAATTATTTTTATGTTTTATAACATAGCATGCAGATCTTGTCCTCTGCATATTTGATAATTAGTAACAGAGCACATATTTTGATCTTGGAGGTCTGTTTTATTTTGGTTCAAGGAAACATATATTCCAGATTTAGACTCATAGGCTGCCCAATCTAAAATTTTGGTGATAACTTCTATTAAGTACACACTTACTTTAATTAATTTTAATCTTTCTGTTGTGATTTGGAAATACTATTGTTAATATTTCAAAATTATTTATTTGTAAAATGAGTATACTTTTTAGAATATATTATTTTGACTCATATCCATTATTTGAACAGAGATTTTTTTCTGTTGCTTCTACTAACACAACCATCTGAAACTTTTGAGTTCCACATGTGTCATTTTTTAACTAGCTTCAGTAATATAATTTGATCAGTTTTAAGGCAAAATAGATTTACTTATTTTTGTAAAGGAGTCTTCTTTATTCCTTACAAATGCATTTCTTTACTTGAAAGCAAGGCACTACTGTTTTCTTATGAATAGTAACAAAGTTTAACATCCTATAATTATCAATAGCCTAGTATGAGAACAGCTTGTTCTCTAGTCTGCTAACTATACATCATTACAGTGTTTTACCATCTTAAGAAAAACATTTTTTTCCCGACTAGCTTCATATACCAAAAATTTTAAAACAGAGGGTAAAAATTTTAAACTTTAGGTTATGAAGATTTCTTCTCAAGGTATTTTCAGTAATTGACTTTAGTGTTGCCCAACAGAATTTTCTGCAGTGATGGGAATATTTTATATCTGTCCAATATGATAGTCACTAATTGCATGTGGCCATTGAGCACTTCAAGTGTTGCTAGTACACTTGAAGAACTAAATTTTAAAGCATAGTTAGTTTTAATTAATTTAAATTGTCACATGTGGCTAGTGGCTTATCAGCTTGGCCAGTGTAGATCTACATAATTAAAATTTTCAATAGGAACCTATAAATTTCTTAAAAACACCTAAAAAGAAAGTAATGCCATTTAATTTAGCTCTTAACTTACTTTAACTTAAATAATATATATTTTATATTACTATGGGGGTAAACTTATATAAAGAAGAAAATAATTTTTTCTAAATCAAGCTGGTAGAACATTGTCCCATCTATAAACTGGGAATTCTCTATGGCAAATTACATCTTCGCAGAAAAGAATTCAAGGAGCAGATTAATTAAGAATTCTTGTTTAAATTTGCATCTCCGAGAAGGGTGCCATAGAGTTTGGGTTTGGGAATAAATATACCCTGAAATATTTTTACCCTATTTACTCCTGATTTTTTTCCTCCTATAGTATGTCGTATTTTTGAAATCCTTTGATACTCAGTAGTGTGTAAGTACTTATGATAATGCAAAATAATGTACCTATTGATCAAAGATGCTTGAACAATAATTGAGATTTTAGAAAATTAGCCAGAAAACTGAAGCTCTTAGTTCTAGTAATAGTTGCTGCGTGCTAAACTATTCAGAATAAACAATAAATTATACGTACTTAACTGTTCAGTATCTAGCATTTACTTATAGGTAATGTAAATCATAGACTGGCTGCATAAAAAGACAGAAATATTCAATTAGAAGCTGCATTACAAGGAAATTTAATTGTTATCCTGTTCATTAAACATCTGAATTCATTTTTAAAAAGATTAATTTCACTTATATCTGTGGTACATATTATGTAAAGTAGCTCTACTAAATCAAAATAGGCTGAATTAAATGGTATTCGTTTTACTTTTGTGTATTTTCAAAGATATTACAGTTTTTTTCCACATTATATATTACTTTTTTGATTAGACTTGAATTTGGCACTTACATTTTACTTAAATGTAAAACTGTACCATCTTGATAGTCCTAGAAGTTTTTTTTGTTTTCTTTTTCATTGACCTGTTAAGCATATGTTTTGAAAGGAAATCATTTGTATTTCTTGCAATCTTCTTTTTTGTTTTCCAGGTATGGATTTTCAAATATGCGCTATATTTCTTCGCTAATTAGTGGTGTTGGTATTTTCATGATGGGGGCAGGACTATCTTGGTACCATGGAGTCATGGGATTGCTTCATCCTCAACCAATGGAATCCCTTTTATGGGTAATCCTGTTTGTTCCCCCTCAGTTTTGAAGTAATATGATGTAGTAATTGAGTACAGTAGAATGCTTTTGTCATATTGGTGTTGACAAACCTCAATAACACCTTCTTGACTGTGTCATAGGGTTATGTATCTGTAGTTGTGTTTTATGGAACATGACTGGACATGACCTCTAAATTCATATAATTTAATGATATTGAACAAGAGGATCTCTAAGTACAATTGTTAAACTCTTCCTCCTTGGTTAAAATCAGTTCTATGAATTTCTCTAGTTGCAGTTGAAGAACAAGATCTCTGTTCACTTTTAGTCCCAAGAATAGTCTCATAACAGTAATTAAAATATCCAGTTCCATGTAATAATCATAAATTGGAACTGCATTTAAAGTTAAAGCTTCTCCTCCTCCTTCAGGTAGGAAGCCTGCCCTGGGGGAATGGGACGTTGGAGGAGGGTCACCTTCTCTGTTTTCCCACCTAGAGATTCTACCCTTCTCTTCTGCTCCATAGGCAGTGTTGAAGTTTGGGATAGGGACAAAAAAGTTCTACTTTCCTAGCTACATGTCATTTTGCATTGGTTTCCGCTGGCCTTTGTAGATGTTTAAAGCTGTCTTTTTCTGTCATGGACACTTCTTAGAGATTACCCTGTTTGGCTTCTCTGACTATAGCTCCCCAACAGGCACAAATTGGTCATGTAGCACCACCTCTCAGCTTCTGCATCTGATGGTGTAGTTCCAGGCACTGCTGAAGTTGCCTTGCATTTGGCAAGAATGCCTTTTGGGCAAGTGATCTAAGGGTTCCGTGTCTGAGCCCTATGTGTTAAAATGGACATCTTTAACACAATTTCAGTAGGAGTGCAGTTTTTCCCTAAACATAGTCATCTCCTCTGCTGACACAGCCAATATCAGTTAGTAGACTTGACTATAGATTTATTGTTCAGGTGTGTATCAGACACAGTTTGCTATGATAGCCAAACTCTGGGGGATACACATCCAGCTTTCTGAGAAATCTCAATAGCTTAACAGTTTTCACTGAAGAAATCTTCACTTTTGGCCTCCTTAACCTCAGCTCTTCCTGTATGGTCTGATGGGTGTGGAACAAGGGTATGGTCTAGTGGGTGGAGACCCCCAGGCTTGGGCCACCTTCTGTGCAAGACCTGAATAGATGATATAATACCTCATATTTGGATATGGGGGTTCTGTTATTTATTTATTTATTTTTATTTTTATTTTTTTAAAAAGATGACCGGTAAAGGGATCTTAACCCTTGACTTGGTGTTGTCAGTACCATGTGAGCTAACCGGCTATCCCTATATGGGATCTGAACCCGTGGCCTTGGTGTTATCAGCACCACACTCTCCCAAGTGAGCCACGGGCTGGCCCGGATATGGGGGTTTTGTAACCTACTTTGTTCTCTATTTTGGGTTGTAGCCAGAAGAGGACAGAAGCAATCTCATTTTAATAACTTATTATACCATACAGATCTACATAATAAGAAGCCTATTAAACTAGGCTTATTTACATTGTTATTCACTAGTTTCCTATAGTTTTTATTGACTAGTTTCTTACCATAATACGTTTCATATAATTAAAATGAACAAACAAATATATTTCCTCTATTCCAAAAAGACTGGTCATTTTATAGATACCTTATTGTCCTAGCATTTGTCTAATTTGTACACCATCACTTTCCGGAGGCAAAGCAGTCTCTAGAGTTAGAGATTAATTAGTTACTTTTTCAGTTGTGTATAAGTTTTAAAGCTCCTAGAAGCTCTTGTGTCTTTTAGTGACTAGATGGGGTTCCATTAGACAATAGCCTTTTCGTAAATAAATAATTTTTTAAAAAATTAACACCATTTTGAAAAAAAACATTTTTATTATCATCACCACTCAACTTATTTGTGTTGGATTATGTACCAAATGGCCAGATCTTCTAAAGAACATCTACATAACATTTCTTTCATGTTTCAAGAGATGAAAATATCTGTATAAGGCTAAGTACAAAAGTACACAACACAGCAGACATTAAAAATCCATGTATGAGATTTTATCCCATCTGCAGCTTTTATATAGTTTGAAAAGTAGACTCTGTGAACTAAAAATTATTGTCCTTCTGTATTCCTGTGAAGTTTAGTGGAAGTGGATTTAACCTGATTACAACACTAATCAGTATGACTGATCTGATATTTACCAAAAAATTGTATTTTTCAATAAATTAAAGTCAGTGCAACACCCACACAAGCTAGAATGCTAGCTGCATCCATTCCTCACATTGAAGATATGAAACACAAACCCATTCCTCTTTCTGTGTGGGTTTGTGATCTTGTCATTTCATACTGAACATCTAGATTTCTAAGTATTTCTTTCTGTTGCTTCAAAGTCTTATAACTTTCTTCATTGATTGAGCTACATCCAGCTTCATCTTCACTCTTAATACCCATTAATTTCCTAAATTTGACGTTTTGGTCTTTGTTTCCAAAATTCAGTTTTTCCCATATTTCGGCAGACTGGGATTTGTCCACTTCTTTCTTCCCTTGCCAAAGCATTTTTCTTTTTTTGTCTTGTTCAGCAGATTTCATTGGATTCACAGCTGCTGGGTTATAGTAGCTAGGCACAGCTATTCCAGTCTCTGTGAAAGCTTTAGCTTGCAGGGCTGCCATTTGAGCTGCCGTAGCTTTCTGAGGAATTACTTGAGTTCCTGATGCCAAGAGGGTAGCAACATTGAGAACAGAACCTCCAGTAGCTGCAGCTGCTGCAGCTATTTCTTGCTGTTTTTGTTTCTCAACCATTTCCTTTTTTCACTGTTCTTGTAATTTCTTTGCCCATTCCAACCTCCTAACTAAAGCTTCTTTAGTGCATCCATCGCTGTGTTTCTGCCTCTGAAGGGAGGTGGACGAGGAGTCTCGCTTAAACTTCTGCTAGATCTTGGTTTTTCAATTCTCTTCTTTCTGTCTCGACTTCTGCTCCTTGTCCTACTCCTGCTTCTAGTCCTATGTCTTTGTCTTGATCTTGAGCAGGAATGAGACCTAATCCAACGTTTTCTTTCCCTGCTTCTTGATTGTGATTTATTCCTCTCTCTGCTTCTGGATCATGACTTCTTCCACTCCCTACTCCTGGATCGGGTCGTCTTCTGCTCCCTGCTTCTGCTACAATGGCATCTTTCACAAGACCTAGATCTTGAGTGACTTCTGCCTCTTGATGACTTTCTTTCTTTGCGTTTGTGTCTGTGCTTACCATTTTCAGATGAATTTAGTCGCTCTCTTCCTTAATCAGAAGAATATTCTTTGTCATTATGTTCCTCAGACTTGTTTTTCTTAGGGGATTTATTTTTGGATTAATGTCTTCTTGCCTCTTTGCTTCTGCTCTGGCTCCTGTGTTTTCTTCCTTCATTATCTGACTTCCATTTTCTTTTTCTTGACCTTGATCATGATCTTGAATAATAATGTTTTGAAGCTCTGGGAGAGACAGATACATCTGACTGCTCTTTTTTCTTAGCTCTACCTGGAGATGTCTTTTCTGGGGCTGTCCATCACTAGCCACCATAGTCTAGAATCCTGGCTGCTAGGGTGGCGCCTCCACTTGCTGCTTTCAACACTACCTGGCCGCCCTGAAGCTTCACCAAAGACTGAATCACTCATCTGAGAGACCCAGATGGCAATAATAAATTTAAAACACTGTAAACTTGTTTATGTTTATTAGGTATTATTTTGGAATCCTTTTATTGGGTGATAAGTGTGTCTTAAGTACTTTCAGGAAGGAGATTGGAAGGATTAAAAAGAGTTATTGGAAAGTTTACCTGTTATTTTAATTGTGCTTTAGGTTGGCTTTTAGATTCAGTGGAAAGAGCCTAGAATTGAGACTGGAAAGCCTGCATTCTAGTTCTTACTCTGCTATCATTTCTATGTACGCAGGCAAATCACTTAACCTTGGTAGTTCGGTTTTCTTAACAGAATTATAAGAGTGTTGGACTAGGTTTGAAATGTTCAAACCTCTATTTCAGGAAAGACTAGGGTTTCAGAAAGGTATATTGAAAATTGTGTAGATGTTTGGTTTGAATTTTACTAAAATTTTTTTAAAAATTGTTTTGCTACATTAACTTTTTGTATACATTGGACTAAAGCTTCTCTTGCCATCTTTATTTAACTGAACAATGTCCTTGGACTGTAAGGAACATAGTATTACTAAAAAAAAAGTAATTGATTACTGTTAATAACTACTTATCTTTCTGAATCAAAATTCTCTTGGTATGGGGCATCTAAGCAAAATCCAGAAGTTACTTGAGTATGGGTGTGAACCTTAGGGCATCTGGTGTCCATAACCCAAGATTTCAGATGTTTGTGTTCAAATCTCATTGTCCTAATTTGAGTTTTTTCCTATTAAAATGTTTATAATCTGGCTTAGATTTGAATTTATGTTTCTGTTTTAGACATTATAAACTTTATGAACAGTTCTGAGTCTTTGAAGAAATATTTATGCTCTGTTTTAACATTTGTTTTTTAGGCATATTGTATTTTAGCAGGATCATTGGTCTCTGAAGGAGGTATGTACTGTCACAGAGTATCTCTTTATTACTAATTTAGTAATATATATTCAGCAGTCCATTATTACAGTTGTTAAGTTCTGTTGATTAAGGAAAACTGTGGGAATAGGAATCTAAGCTTTGTCTACTTTTAGAGAGTCTTTGTATAATATACTATGGTTGTTTTTGTAAAGGATGGGGGCAAGGGGAAAGCTATGTTTTGTTCTTGAGTATCATATTATAATGTTCAGAACATTTGAAATGGAGTATGAAAACATAACTATACTGAATTTTTAAAAATCAGGTTTTTAGTAGTTTAATCAAAAGTTTCTTTTCGCAATATGAATATTTCAAAGTTTCTGAAATATATGGCTATATAGCAGTTTATGACAGAGCACTGCTACTATCACTGTGAAACTGCCTAATTCATAGTATCTTTACTCCTGAAACATAATCACTTTCTATGTGTAGTGTTCTCTTCATCTGTTTTTTTAAATTAATACAAGGGTACTTCAAAAAGTTCTTAGAAAGATAGACTTAAAAGGTAATACAAATCTTTCTATGAACTGGAAAGATAGACTTAAAAGATAATACAAATCTTTCTATGAACTTTTTGTAGTACCCTCGTATTATTTTTAATTAACAGATCATAACTATATATTTATAGATCCCTTCATCTTTGATAGTCCATAAAATTGTGATAATACCACTTGACTCAAAAGGTTGGGACAATCGAAAGTGGTTGTGCTTAAGTGTGGTACCTGCCAAATAGTGGCTGTTTAATAAATTAAGGCTGTTGATATAGCAATTATATTTAATTATTATGGTTTAGAAATAAGGAATTAGGGTCTTGATAATGACTAGTTAATATAGAACTTTTCCTTATTGCCAACCCTGGTGTTAAAATGTGGTACTTATTTATTTAGCTTTTGAAATGCCACCTTTAAAGTTTTGAGGTATGAAATTTTTTCCTTGCTGATATGAATGCTTTTCTTTCAGCAACACTTCTTGTTGCTGTAAATGAACTTCGTAGGAGTGCTCGGGCCAAAGGAATGTCATTTTACAAATATGGTATGTATTTTAGAAACCAGGGGTTTATTTCATCTCCTTTATTTGCTTAAAATTACCTAGTACTATTGCTTTGTGCCTAATAGATGTGTTCAAAATGTTATTGCAATGGCCTCCCTATGTGGCTCTTATGTATATATCACCTCTTTTAAAAGAGAAATGTAGTGTAGTTTGAACATGGATATTTTATATTTGGATTTGACTTAAGCGAAGTACTGTATTTCTATATATGCTTATCTGACTTGAGAAAGTAATTTGACTTTATATATCAGTTACTGTTGACATGTAAGCTAAGAAATTATATTTACATTGGACAAGGTTTTTAAAATCATGATTTCTTATATTTTTTAAAATCTTAATTTAATCTTGATTTTAAATGGATACTTATCACCTGATGGTATCAAATTAAGGTTTTAGTAATTTTCTTTACTTGTCTCTCCCCCATTGATTAAGTAATGGAAAGTCGTGATCCTAGTACAAATGTTATATTATTGGAGGATACTGCAGCAGTCTTGGGAGTGATAATAGCAGCTACTTGCATGGGCCTTACTTCTATAACAGGTAAATATTTCTTAAATTACAGGTGGTTTATTTGTCCCTACTTAAATAATTCTCTCATATATGGGAATTTTCTCTTATATTATTGAGTAATTTTAAACCAATAGATTGTTAAATGTTAATTCCATACTAATTATTGATTTGTGTAAGATATTTGGTCAGTAAAAGTATTCAGGTTTCTCTGAATTAGACATAAGTCTACTAGTAGAGGATTTTTGTAATGCTGTAAACCTTTCTATAGGTTTATTAAGATAATATGAGAGAACTTTAATAAACTCTGAAGTTCTAAATAAATATGTATTATGGCTCTTGTTCATTTGTTTTCTTCCAGTTTTAGTGGCAATAATAACTGCTGTTGTCTTCTGTTTCCTTAACTCTCTTTTTGTTTGTTACATCCTCATTTTGGTGGCTAGTTAAGTGTTTTGAGGGATAGTACAGAAAAACAGGTAAATGAGAAGACAGAAAAACCATTTTTTAAAATTTTGTAAAACAGCCATTTAGTAAGAAAAGACTAAATTTATAAAGTTGGAATTCTGTTGGAATGGAACTTTTCCCATTCTTCCTTATTTGTCCTTATGTATTTAAAATAATTTTAGGTGACGAGCTTTCACAGTTCTGCAGTGTTTCTTCAAATAGTCTGAAATACGAATAGCTCTTTCTCAATTTGAATGCTCATTTCAAGACTAAACCAGCATTCTCTGATGTTCACTGTGACCTGAAATATTTCTAAAAATATTGGTTTTTTGGTGCCCTTATAGTTTTAGACATTTTTTTGTATATAAATTATTAGCAAAATTTTAGGCTTAAGAAAAGTGTGACTTGATGTATAAGTCAACTTTTAATTGATTTATTTTCTTTTACATAATAATAGAAACCAGTTAAATCAAAGTTATAAAAATATGTATGAGACTGTTTCACATGAATTAAATTTTATTTAATTAGCCAAATTAGTTTATATAAATAACATGCCAAGAAATATTTTTCTTAAAAAAGTGTTTTCTTCCAGCTAATAGTCATATGATTTCTGTAGGATTATTTATACATGTGTATACTCTTAAATAAAAATAATTATTTAAATTTGAATTTCTGAAGAGCAATATTTGATTTTGAACATTATAATTACAAACCTCCTATTAGATTATGTTACAAGTGGATCATTTTTAACACAGTACAGATAAGTGAATACTTTTTAGTGTTATGATTTGACTAAATATTAATAAAACTAGTATATATCTTGAGATTTTTAGCAAAATAAATGTGTTTTATCAAGCTTTAAAAGAGTTAAATATTATATTGATGCCATTTCACCTTTCGAATAAAAACACTTCAAATCATAAAAGTCATGTGTGTAAAATTTATTATAAAGATTTTAAAAATATTGGTGTCTGTTATATAAATATTACCTATACATTCAAAGATAGTAAGTCAGCCTTTCTCTTGGTTCTGGGAGAGTTAAGCCCTAACAAACTATGGTAAATGTTGCAATCAGAATCACCTGGAAGGCTTGGGGAAACATAGAATGCTGAACCCCACCTCCAGAATTTCTGATTCTGAAGGTCTGGGATGAGGCCTGAGGATTTGCATTTCTACCAAGTGATACTGATGTTGCTGGCCCAGGAACCACACTTTGAGAACTACCACTTTAAGGCACCCATAGCATGTAATCAATTAACTTCTTTCCTTTGTATTTAGAATGGTACTAGCTATATATCATCTCTGGTAGAATGAGAACAGAAATCACACGTATCATTTTCTGTAGGGCTTAATTCTCATGCAGAATGTTGGTAGGAATAAGACACAAAAAATGGTTATTTCTTTCAGCTTTTGTTTTTTTGTTGTTGTTTTTTTTTCTTTGTCTGTTTTCGTGACCGGCAAGGGGATCGCAACCCTTGGTGCGGGGTCACCCGCACTGCGCTCAACCAGTGAGCGCACCGGCCATCCCCATATAGGATCCGAACCCGCGGCGGGAGCGCCGCTGCGCTCTCAAGCGCTGCACTCTCCCAAGTGCGCCACGGGGCCGGCCCTTTCTTTCAGCTTTTGATTTCACAATTATTTTGTCTACCTGGCATAGGAAAATTATTACTGATGTATCTAAAAGAAATGCACTCTTCATTATGTCATTAGTAAGTATATGTTGTCTCTAATCTGAAAGTGCTCTGAACCCTCATCCATGTGATGACCAGGTGCAAGAAACAGTTTGTAAATAATTAAGTTACATAGTACTTAGGTAATATGAAGCAAGTTGTAGCATCCCCATTTTGTAGTATAGTAAAACTATTAGGAGTCACTAAAGGAGGCAATTAAGGAATTAGGAATTAATTTCAAATCCCTTGAATACTAGTTCTGGTTCTTTGCTCTCTAATGCTCATTGAAATAATAGAAACTGTTAACTTACTGATTTCTTACGTGTTTTATTTAGGCAATCCACTGTATGACAGCCTTGGTTCTTTGGGTGTAGGCACCTTATTAGGTGTGGTCTCAGCATTCCTCATCTATACTAACACAGAAGCACTCTTAGGGCGATCCATCCAGCCAGAACAAGTACAACGACTTACTGAACTCCTGGAGAACGACCCATCAGTAAGGTCAGCATTATTCCAGTGATGCTATTAAGGCTTACAAAAACATACTAAAAAAGAGAAATGCTTGGTTTGTAAATACTTCCAGAAGAAGTTTTGGATTCCTAGTCTTCAGAACTTTTTAATTTATTACTTTTCAGAATTTTTTTTTTTTTTTTGATGAAGCAAGGATTCATTTAGGAAACTCCTTATAAAATTTCCTTTTAAG